TCAGGAGTTGAGGAAATAGATGTTAAATTTACCCAGAATTAGAGTTTTTCTAACCAAGAGTGTTAGAAGAAATGTGTATCTAGTGGGAAAGAAGTGTAGCATACCTAGATGTGATGATAATGGAGGGACAAAAGAAACTTTGGATTCAGAGGTTTTGATCAATCAGAAGATGGTTGGAGTTAGAGTTACTAGTGTGAATAAATGAAGAGAGAAGGGGGTGATGGCCTTGGGAGCTAGTGCGTGCTTTTATTCTCTGGCGCTTCTTAATACAAATATAAGTGAGTGACTTCAGAGAATAATATTTTATCATTTGAGATCCCTTACAACCAATTTTAAAGCTGTGTGATTTTTTTTTTTTTTGTAAAGTGAAGGGAGATTATACATGGATTAAGCCTCCTGTGAATCCCCCCTAACCTTAGACCAGGAAAAGGAATAGCCTTATCACACAGAGAGCACTGGAAAGTGGATGATTGCAGATACAGTTAGGTTCAAATTTAACACCTTATCATTTTAGCTCCTTTGGGACCCATTTTAAATTTGTTCTAGTTTTTAATATTTTCAACCTCTCGACTGTTTTATTTTCTGCTTTACTTTGTAATTGTTGTTAGGTTTTTCTTTTTTTGTATGTTTTTATGTATATGAAATTCAACAGATAAAATCTATGGAGATAGTAACTGGTTTAGTGGTTTCTTAGGGATATGGCGGGGAGGTTAGGGTAAAACGGGGGACTAATAACAATGAATACCAAAAACAGAAAGAAAGAAAATGTTCTAAAGGTGATTTGTGGTAGTGATTATACAACTTTTGATATATGATTGAATATTAAATTTTATAATATATGGATTATATTAGAATAAAATGTTTTTTATGATGACATTTATTTTCTCACAGTTCTTTAGGATAAAAGTTCAAATAAGAGTTTTGGCCTTACTGACTCCTTCCTTGTCAGTAGTCCTGGGTGTTCCTTGGTTTCTTGCCTTGTAGACAGCCCTTGTATATTATCTCTCTTTTTGGTAACTGAAGGTTGGAAGTTCGTAAATACATGTCTCTGCACCTATAATATGTTTTATATACCTCAGAAGTAATTAGGTTTAGAATTCCCTTGCACTTACATGGACCACAATTGATTAATTAAATCACATAAGATTGCATTGGAGAAATAGATAATATTAGATTCACAAATATAGAGGTTAGAATTCTCGCAAATATTTTAAGGGGACACAATACCATCCTTAAGAATACTTAACAGTATAATTGCTGGCGATAATAATGAGGGTGAGGTCATGGCTGTGATGATTGCAATGGTGCAAGGTGCAAAGATCCTTAGAAGTGAAGAGGTCAAGGCCTGGGGAAGCCCAGTTGTTGGATAGGTCATGCTGAAGTCATCCAGGACAGTGATGAGTATGAGATTAAAGAGGAAGACAGTTGATCCACGTGCTAATCCTCCCGGGTTTGAGAGGAGTGACAGAGAAATCCAGAGATGGGAGCAATACATAGGGACACTGCGTGATACAGCTAAGTGGCAGGAGCTTCATAGGAGCTCTGAGTTTTACAGGAGTTTTTGAACAGTAATGCCCAAAGAGAGTCATCCCATATTTAGCCTTTAAGATGATGTGTAATATCAAAGGAAAACAATGAGAACATATATGTTCCAGTTTATGGCAAGAGAGTAAAGGGAAGGTTCTGAGAAGTAGCTGAGCAGTTTGGAGAATTTGCCAATAAAGATGCAGAATTCCAAGGGCAAAGCAAAAGAGTTTAAGCACGTAAGGGGAGCAGGCTGAATCAGGGACACCCTAGGTCTCCTAGGGAAAGATAGTCCAGCTATTGATAGACTTGAGTAGTTTGATGTCTGAGGTTGACCATGGTAATCAAGGAAGTGAAGCATGAGAGTTTGGTGAAGTCACATCTCAGTCTGCAGTAGTTGAAATACCAATTTGGCTAGTTTTCTGACATTTTACAGCCTTGCATATTTCTTAAATATCTTGTTTTACCAACTAAACGGCGAACTCATGGCAAGTAGGCCTGTGTACAACATTTCGTTTCACATTTTAACATCCAGCACAATACACACATAATAAATACTTGATGAAGGAAGGGTTCTTTTTTTTTTAAGTCATTTTATTGGGGGCTCATACAACTCATCACAATCCATACATACATCAATTGTATAAAGCACATTTGTACATTTGTACATTTGTTACCCTCATTGTTCTTTTTTAAAATTATTTTATTGAGGGCTTGTACAATTCTTATCACAGTCCATACATCCATCCATTGAGTCAAGCACATATGTACACCTGTTGCCCTCATCAGTCTCAAAACATTTGCCCTCTACTTTAGCCCTCAATATCGTTTGCTCATTTCCCCCCTCCCTTCCCCTCCCCCTCCCTCCTGAACCCTTCATAATTCATAAATTATTATAGTTTTGTCATAAGTTACACTGTCCAACGTCTCCCTCTGCCCTCTTCTCTGCTGTCCATTCCCCAGGGAGGAGGCTATACTTAGATTCTTGTAATTGTTCCCCCCTTCTACCCCACATTCCCTTCACCCTCCAGACCTTGCCCCTCTCACTGCTGGTCCTGATGAAGTCATCTATCCTGTATTCCCTGTGTTTCAAGTTGCCATCTGTACCAATGTACATCCTCTGGTCTAGCCAGATTTGCAAGGCAGAATTGAGATCATGATATTGGGGGGGAGAAAGCATTAAAGAACTAGAGGAAAGTTATATGTTTCATCATTGCTACCCTGCACCCTCATTGGCTCGTCTCCTCCCCAAAATCCCTCAGCAGGGGGGTGTTCTATCGCCATCCGATGGACTCTGAGTCTCCACTCTGCACTCACCCAGAAGGAAGAGTTCTTAAAAGAAAGACAGAGACAGTTGCTAACATGTTTCTATCCTGCCCATAAATATTTCTAGGAACTTTAACTAAGATTACCACCTGTGGTAGTTACATAATCTGTTGTCAATTTGACTATTGTCTCATTAAGACAATTGTTGTGATTAAGAGTGAAGGGGTGGAGTTTAGCCTGTCAATCAGATCACAGCTTGATGACTTCATTTGGAAGCACTAAGGAGATAAATAGTTCACTGGAGGTAGGACACACATTCACTCCCTTTGAGACATTCCTGTTGACAAGACACATGGACCTACTCTAGAGCCCTGGAGATGACAGCCACATGGAGACCCCTGCCAGTGCTAAGATGTTTCCACTACCATTGGATCACAAAACTTTCCACCGACTTGCATGTGATATTCCTGCATTCGGCATCATTGCATGTGTTTCGTAAGTCTGAAGAGGAATTATAGATTGATATCAGACATATGGGCTAACATCAGACTTATGGACTTGATCTGGACTGGGCTGGGATGTTTTCTCAATATACAATTGCTCTTTTATGAATAATGCTCTTTCTTATACACATATGAGTGTTTATGAATTTGTTTCTCTAGACAGCCCGGACTGAAACACCACCCTCTTAGTGAGCCTTCTCCTCTCACTTTCTAATTTCTTTGGGAGGTGTGTGTGGTGGTTACATAATCTGGTGTCAATTTGGGACTTGAAAGGATTAAGAGTGAAGAGGTGGAGTCTACTCTGTCATAGTCAATGAGACTTCTGTGTGGGCATGGCCTTCCCCTAAGGATTCTGGGAATTCTGGCTTTTCATCTTGGAGGGGGAGACACTTCTCTGTCTCTGCTCATTTCCTGTGAGACATTCCTGAGGACAAGACACATGGCACTGTGCTGATAAGACCCCTGGGACCTGGAAAAGCCATGTGGAGACCCCTGCCAGCACTGAGATGTTTCCAATGCCACTGGATCCAAAGATTTTCTACCCACTGGTCTGTGATCTTCCTACATTTGGCATCATTGCATGTGTTTCACGAGTCTGAAGAGGACTTTATAGATTGGTACCAGACATATGGGCTAATATTGGACTTATGGGCTTGAACTGGACTGGGTTGGGATGCTTTCTGAATGTAAAATTACCCTTTATATAAAACTCTCTCTCATGCACATATGAGTTTCTAAGGATTTGTTTCTCTAGTCTGCCCGGACTAACATATTGACTAGAGAAGCAAATTCATAGACACTCATGTGTATAAGAAAGATCTTTATATCAAAGAGCAATTGTATATTAAGAAAGCATCTCAGCCCAGTGCAGATCAAGTCCATAAGTCTGATGTTAGCGCATATGTCTGAAACCAATCTATAAATTCCTCTTCAGACTCACGCAACACATGCAATGATGCTACATGCAGGAAGATCACAGGCCAGTGGTTGGAAAGTCTTGTGGACCCAGTGGCAGTGGAAACATCTTAGTGCTGGCAGGGGTCTCCATGTGGCTCCTTTAGCTCCAGGGCTCTGGTTCCATAAGGGGTCTCCATGTGGCTTGTCAGCAGGAAGGCAAAGCAGAGTCTCCTGCCTCCAGAGAGTAATCCAGGAGTTCCCAGAATCTTCAGGAGAATGCCATGCCCACATGGAGGCCTCATCAGTCTTCCCACCTAGAAAAATACATCTTCCCATATTTCATTTTCCTCTGGTAAACACTCCTGGGGCTAGGCCTAGGTCAACTAACAAGCCTGCTCTCTTTGAGTTTTGACTCTTTAATGTTTATGCTTGATAGGGGACCTAGGCATGTAAGGGTACCTGGATAGATAGACCGAACTGCTCCCTGTGCAGTTCCCAATGTTAATACCAGTGCTATCCAGCGTGACTACTGAAATTAAATAAAAATTTAAAATCATTACTTTCATTGCACTGGCTACATGTCAAATGCTCAGAAACCTCATGGAACTACTGGCTATTTTATTGGTGTGACTATAAAACCGTTCACTATCCCAAGTAGTTCTATCAGACTATGCTGATTCTGTAAAGATGTTATTCTGACCCCTTTCTTTCTTTTTTCTGACCCCTTTCTGTTTTTCTTGATAGAGAATTCATGAACTAGCCCTAAGATCCTCACACCTTGGAAAGGAATTGAGCAGCCCAAACCTAACCATGGCCCAGTACAAAGGCACCATGCGGGAGGCAGGCCGCGCCATGCATCTGATCCGGAAGCGGGAGAAGCAGAAGGAGCAAATGGAGGTGCTGAAGCAGCGCATCGCGGAGGAAACCATCACCAAGTCAAAGGTGGACAAGAAGTTCTCTGCACACTATGACGCCGTGGAAGCAGAGCTGAAGTCCAGCACTGTGGGCCTGGTGACCCTGAACGACATGAAAGCCAAGCAGGAAGCCCTGCTGAGGGAACGGGAGATGCAGCTGGCCAAGAAGGAGCAGCTGGAGAAACGCAGGCTCCAGCTGGAGAAGCTGCGGGAGAAGGCACGCCTGCATGAGCAGAAGCGCAAGATCTCCAGTCTGTCTTTCTCGCCGGATGAGTTCAGTGAAGACGGAGAGGAAGACAGAGGTGGTGAGGAGGAGCACGAGCCTCACAGGGCCGAGGTGACCAAGAAAAAGAAGAGACATCTTGGTAAGAATCCTGACGTGGACACGAGCTTCCTGCCAGATCGGGACCGGGAGGAGGAAGAAAATCGCCTGCGGGAAGAGCTGCGCAAGGAGTGGGAGGCCCAGCGTGAGAAGGTCAAGAGCGAGGAGATGGAGATCACTTTCAGCTACTGGGACGGCTCCGGCCACCGGCGGATGGTGCGCATGAGCAAGGGCAGCACCGTGCAGCAATTCCTCAAGAAGGCCCTGCAGAGCCTGCGCAAGGACTTCCGGGAACTGCGTGCCGCAGGCGTGGAGCAGCTCATGTACATCAAAGAGGACCTCATCCTACCCCATTACCACACGTTTTATGACTTCATCATCACCAAGGCACGTGGCAAGAGTGGGCCGCTCTTCAACTTTGATGTGCATGATGATGTACGGCTGCTGAGTGATGCCACCATGGAGAAGGATGAGTCCCATGCTGGAAAGGTGGTGCTGCGTAGCTGGTACGAGAAGAACAAACATATCTTCCCCGCCAGCCGCTGGGAGCCCTACGACCCAGAAAAGAGGTGGGACAAATACACCATCCGATGAATCCTTGCCTTTCACAACCATCTCTGCTAGTCTTAGAGGAACCAGGATAGGAAATCAGAGGAAACACGTAGGTTTCTTTGAACTGCCACCTAGAACTCACTCTAATTTCTTCCGTAAGTTTTAATAAAGGGCTCGTGTTATTAAAATTTGATTGGTGTGTTGCTGATCTTATCGTTTTCTTGGGTTTCTTCGGGTTTGGATTTTGTCTGGTTTCGTTTATTTCTTTGAGTATGTATACTGTTGCCCAGTGGGGTCATTATATAGGAAAATATAAAGGGGCCCAATGTGGAGTAGAAATTAGAATTATCAGGAGTGAATTTTTTACCTATGCTATAGTATCGAAATTAGTAATGATAAGGATGGACTTTGGAGCCAGACTGGGCTTGATTTCCAACTCAGTTTCTTACTAGCATATTAATTAAGCCTCTGTTCATCAAGTGTTAATGAGGGATAACAAAAGCACTCATCTCTTATGAGAAATAAGTTAATATTTGTACTGCACTCTCAGCTCAATAAATGTTTGATATTATTATTGTTATAATATTAATTTATTTAAGGTACTGCTCTGACCTTTTTGAGAGCTATCTAGAGGCGAAATTTGACCAATCTCAGGTTCCAGGAAAACCTCATTGTAACCGTAGTTAGGAAAATGTACTGAGCTTACAGAAGTAGGTGCAAATCATTATTCTCCTGTCCCAGGGAGAATTTGTTCCTCTGGTTTTCTGTAGCTTAGTTGTTAAGTCTCAGGGGCTCAGCGAACAGAAAACTAATAAAGAATATCCTCCAAAATCAGTACTCTCGCCTTTCCTTTTGCTCCCTCTGAGTTGGTTTGATTACTGTTACTGAGCTTGCCTTTATTTAAACCTTTGATTTTTTCATCATAAATTTTCTTGTGTTCACTTTCATTTCTGAATATCACATTAAAATATCTTGCTTATTAAATTTTTGGGTGCCCCCTTCCTCTTAGTCTTTTCTCCTGAGATGGGTGTCTTCTTAGCTTACTCTATAGTCCAATCCACCGGATAGGAGGGACACTTCTTTTTCCACTCAGAAGTCTTCCTTAACCCATAACCCAAAACTTCTACAATTATGGCTCTCTAAGCAGTAAGCATGTCCCTCCCTTTCCCTGCTCCTTAGTTACTCTGCAGGTGCAAACTACTTCTAGTATGGCGATCCAAGAGGGCTTCTCAAGGGAGATGATACCCTTTTTGTTACATCATCTGATTTCAAGACCCTTTCCCGTGAAGTCTTACCTCATTTCTGCTGTGCTGTACCAGATGTATGTTCTCCCACATCTCATGGTATGCAGTGATTTGTCTTGTAGAAATGTTCTGTACTTTTTACTTAGACGAGATTCTCCAGAACAAAAGCAGTGAATCCTATAGCAAGATTTACTTCTTGGAGTTGTGGAGGCTACCTGACTCGTTGTTGGGGCTGACAAATCAAAAATTAGCAGGTCAAATATCAGGCTGCTAGGAAATCCAAAAGTCGACAGATTAAGCAAAAGGTTCCTGGTTTATAGCCAAAGAACCAGAGGTCAGAAGATGACAAGTCAGATGCAGCATCAAGCACAGGATTTGCCAGAACATCCATACATACTGAATGTAGGCAGCACATTCAAGGGAATTGCCTTTTCTATCTACTGATAGCTACTCACATCAGATCACAAAATAGAGGATGATTACTTAACATCTGTCAAACCACTGAGAATATTGCCCTGGCCAAGGTGATATTTAATATTAATCATCACAGTCCACCCTTTGTCAACCAAGCACCTTCAAATCAAACCTACTGCCATTGAGTCAATGCTGACTCATAACGACCCTGTAGGACAGGACAACTGCCCCTGTGAGTTTCTGAGACTGTCACTGTTGGCGGGAATAGAAAGTCCCATCTTTCTCCTGTGGTGCGGCTGATGGTCTCAAACTGCTGACTTTGCAGTTGGCAGCCCAACATGTAACTACTATACCACCAAGACTCCTCTAGAACCTTTCCACATCTCCTTAAACCAGATATAATCTCTAAATAAAGACAATTATAGATTCATACTTGCACCTAACATGATACACATAGTCTTCATACAACCAAAACCACGCTTGTCCTATTTAGATCTTATACTTTATAATAAATAATGGAATAAGGTAGTAAAGGAAAAGATATTTATTTTCTTTAAGTATGGATGCACATACAACAAAACAAGGAATAAATGCTCATATACAATCCCATTTCTGCGCTGGTCACATGGTCAGAGCTGAAATTTATAACTACTTCCTTTCACCACCCAATCTGTATTCTCTTTGCCTTCCATAAGCACCTCAGCTGGTCATGGTTTGGTTTTGGGGTGTGTGTGTGTGTGTGTGTGTGTGTTTGCCTTTTGGTGTGAACCAAACTATCACTGAAGGTTTTGAAATTGGATTGCTGTAGATTCCCATATATGTCGTAAGGAATCACCTGCATTCCATATACACACTTCTTGACCTCCATTATGTAATCCAATTTTTCCTTGGTACTCCTGGTCAATCATATCAGCCAGTACAGTAACTCCTTCCTTTGCCTATTGAATCTGTAGTATGGAGTCCAAGGTGGCCAAGTGGTATTCACATTTTCCAGTTCAATGGAATCAATATTCTGTGTCCTGGTGAGAACATTTCTCCCATTGGAAATAAATACTCTAGACCCAAAGTGCATAGGGTAACAAACAGAAAACAAAAATTTTGTGAGTGAAACACTTAGGGTAATATGAAGTGGTACCATTCTCATTTCACCCTTGATTCCTGAACCCACATCACACAAGGGGGGGTACCCCCCCAAAAAAAAATGGACTCCAGCAACTGGAACTCCATGATTCCATTCTCATAAACAGTTTTCAAACTCATCTGTTTGGATGGCTGACAGCACTTCGCTGCTGTTTTTCTTCATCTCTTCTATTTTTTCAAATCGCTGTTCTTTCATGTTCCTCCATTCTTGGAAACAAAAGAAGTCACGTGGAGTGAGGTCAGGTGATTAAGGTGCAAGGAGCAAGAGAGGCATGCTGTTTTTTGCCCAAAACTGATGCATTGAGATGACCGCATGCGCAGGTGCATTGTCGTGGCAAAACCAGTCCTCCGTCTGCCACAAATTAGGCATTTTTGTTGTATACTGTTACATAATCTTTTTCAGAACCTCTATATGAAAGCTTGATCGATAGGCTGACCTGGTGGAATGAACTTCAAATTCACTATCCTCCTCACATCCATAAAAACAAATGAGCATTGTCTTTGATTTCACTGGATGGCAAGGTGAAGAGACATAGCATCTTCCACTGGCTTGATTGATGTTTGCTTTCAGGGTCATCAGGATACAAGGAGCACCATGTCTCCTTGACCTTAGAAAAAAGTCTGGGTGAATTCCGAGGTGTTCTTTCAAAAGGACAGCTTGTTTCTACTCTTTGCATTTTCTCCTGGTCACTCAGAACCTGAGGCACAAATTTTGCAGCAACCCTTCTCATTCCCAACTCTTTTATGAAAATTCACTGAATCGAGCTCCCAGATAGTCCAGAGAACTTCCCCATCTCTTCAATGGTCTGTCATCAGTCTTTGAGCACAATGCACAACTTTTGTTGACATTTTCATCTGTTCAGGAAGTTGACAGATGTCCAGAACGAGGTTTGTCATCAATCGACATTTACTTTTTTTGGAAGTGATAAAACCAGTCATACACATGAGGTTTTTGCCATAGTGCTGTCCTTGTAAGCTGTGTTCAACATTACAACAGTTTCTGTGGCATTTTTTCTGAGCAGGAAACAAAATTTGACAGCCAAACCCTGTTCTCTTAAATCAGCCATCACACAAAAAAAATGAGGTTTGAGTGAAACTGCTTTTACAAAAAAATTCACTGTGACCAGAGAGAACCTTCCCAGGTGACATCAATGAGGTCACTAACTCAGAACAAGTTGCTCGAATGGTACTGTGAAAGCTCCGCCCAGTGGAGCTTTTTTCCGTTTTTTTGTTTTTATTTTTTTATCCCCTCGTATATCATATGCTGCTTAAGAGCACATACAGCCTCATGGAGGCTCCTGCCCCAGCCCTCCAAGGTATTGTAACTTAGTTGGTGCTGTAATTGTGTCAATAGAAGGTTGTTCTACTGCTCTTTTAAGGCAGCTAGCTGCTTTAAGATAACAGGGAATATGGGAAGAACATGAATTTCATGCACATTACTGCACTTCATTTGCTGCTAAGTTAGTTCCTTGATTCAAGGCAATGCTGTGGAAATACTATGATGGTGGCTACAGCATTCTGTAAGTTCACTGGTGGTATTTTTAGCAGAAGCACTGCGTGCAAGGAAGGAAAATCCCTATACAGTGTCTACTCCAACAAGAACAAAATGCTTACCTTTCCATGATGGAGGTCTTCCAATTTAATCAATTTACCACCAGGTTGCTGGCTGATCACCTGTAGGAATGGTGTCATATCAGGGATTTATATTGGCATATTGAGATTCAACAATGGCTGTAACCAAGTAACAAGTAGACTTTGGTAAGTGCAAGTCTATGTTGCTGAACCCATGTATACCCTCCTTCCTTACTACAATGGACAGTTTGCTTCATTGGGCAATACAGAAGTGGGGAAAGGGGCTGACAGATATTCATTATTAAAATCTTACCAGGGTTATCCATTGGTAAGCATTCACATGAAACAAATACCTTCAGTTCTTTCTCTACTCAGAGAAGTCTATTTACATGCCTCTTCCCCAATACTCCTCCTCACCAATTTTTCAATCATGTCCCATTCAATTTCCTTAATATCCATCAAACCATTGGTCACAGTTTATGAATCAATAAACTGGCGATCTCTCCTTCCAAGTAAAGTGAAAAACAAGGTGCATTTCTGCCCATTGAGAGAATATTCCATCTCTATTTTCCTTCAGGGACATTCCAGAAAGGGAATGCAATGCGGCTGCTGTCCATTTTTGAGTAGTGACTGCTATCAGTTGCAATTGATCATAAGGAACTTCTCAGGTTA